AACTTTAGCATCTAATCTGTGAGAGGCATTGCTGGCAGGACTCTCTTTTGTATCCACTTATCTCCATTGACTTAGATCTTCCAGGTTATGAATCATTTGGACTTGACTGGCCATGATACCTAATTGAAATCATTTCTTATTGTTGCTGTTGCACTTCAGCACAGTAATTAAGTCAGTGGGATATTGGATGTTAAGTTTTTTGTCGAGTTCTTTCCTGATAATCTTGCCAAGGTGAACAGAAAATGGTGTGGGACTTTCTTTTCTTGAATGATGCGAGGCATGCTCTCCCGATCAGAAAAGAACAGTGTATGCAAAAGTTTTCATCAGAAACATGTAAATATGTGGCTGAGCCATGGCCTACAGACCTTATGTTGGAAAATTTGTGGACCTGTCTGGACCTCATTTCTCCATCTATTAGCTTCACCTAACCAGGGGAACTAATTTCACAATTTTTCCTAGCCATTTTTTAGGAGTCAGGAAGTTCACTACCCCATCTTGGCTTCTGTTCTGTATGAAGGTCTTGAACCAACTTCTTAGCAGTCAGAGTGAATGGTGCAGTAAATCCTAAAGGGTGATAGATTGAAGATACGATTGAAAGCAGTTTAGTGTGAAATCTGAAGGTGTCGGATTTGATGCACCACTGATTACACCAAGAGCATGGTCAACGGGTAGCTCATCATTATTCATAGTTTTGATCCAACGTTTTAATATCTTAACAAATCTTTGATTTGTTCCTTGGTTTTGGTTTTTCTGCTGGCAGACCAGAGGCAGTCGTCTATGTAAGAGTTGGGGCTCATTCTCCTGGCAACAGCACTCCCATATTTTTCTCGGTTATCATTTGCTGTTCGTCACAGGGTGTAGTTGGAGCAGCTTGGGGAAAAGACAGCAACAAAAGGACAAACAGCCATTTGGTATGCCACATGGAGGTCCAGAGGAAACCAATTAAAAGTTAATTTCAAATTCTTCACAAAATGAAATCGAGTCAAAAAAACGTGCAGAATTTAGAACATCGGCTGTAATAACTATCATATATAATTTATTGGCCCAAACAAGAACTTTATATTACTGAAATGCGAAAGAATGATTGACTTTTTTGTTTGTTCTTTTCCCTTACAAAAAGCTACCAATGACAAACGAACTGCTTGCCACTAATGATAAGTCATGCGTGAAATCATGCAGAACTCTAGGGATCACGTTTCATGCGTGCAGCATCTGGAAATCATGTACGCTTTCCAAAAATTAAAAAATTCGCAGTTGTTCGAAAATTTGAATGATGCCTATATAATATCGATGCCTATGTTTACAACTTGTAAATAAAGTTAAGATGGAATGAATTGTTGTGTTCGTGAGAAATTGTGAATTGGCATTTTGAAAGAAAGGAATGTTTTTTGGTGGAAAGTTATGAAGTTTTGTGGGAATTTCTCACAGAAGCGAAAACTTACAGTTTTCGTTGCTGAGCGACACCTATAATTATAATATCGATGCCTATGTTTGCAAATGTCTGCATCTGGCTAGTGAAAAATTTGTTTTGGCTGGTGAATCAAACCTGTCACTAGCCACTGGGCTAGCAAGCTGAAAAGTTAGTCTCAATCCCTGAAAATGTTGCAGGGTTATTTCGTTGATAAAGGCTACCTAATCATTCTAGTATTTGCTGCTTTTTCTTTGTCTCTCAGTAATGTTAATTCGTGTTGATGCAGACTATAAGCATCTTGAAATTAAGAAGATGTACATGTAAGATCCAGAAGTTAATTTCTTATAAGGTGCAAATAGTTTTTGTCACACGTTAATTCTGTCAGTCATTTCCAAAGGTTTGTGGGAAACTGCCTTTAATGCAGTGATTTGGTTGTTTTTAAGACACCATATGTTCTCTTCTTGGCCCTTCTTCGTAAATTTTCAAGACCTTACACTTGAAGCTCCTGGTTCTGATTCATAATTAACATTTTTTTGAGTTGTATTTCTTTTGTTTTATCCATCTCTAAATCAGCTTTTACAAATTCATCATCGTCGGTTTTGTCATTGCCAGGGCTATCAATAAGGACCCTAACCCGTAACACCTGCTACGACTGAGCATGCTTGATGGGCCCTTGATGTTATGGGTGAACTTGCCTGTTCTTGATACAATTCACCCANGTCATTGCCAGGGCTATCAATAAGGACCCTAACCCGTAACACCTGCTACGACTGAGCATGCTTGATGGGCCCTTGATGTTATGGGTGAACTTGCCTGTTCTTGATACAATTCACCCATAAAGTAACAAATTTGTTACCGGTGTGGAGATAAGGCTGCAGGTTACACAAAACTTAATGACAGCCCTGATTGCCGTATGCATTCCTTACATTTTCTAGGACTCCTTTGTCTGAGCACCTGAGTGTTTTCTTGCTTCCATATCACATTCTTTTGAATAGGCCAATTTCCTTAAAATTCAGCCAAACCAAGCATTTTAGTATATCACTGGTTAGAGTGGCTGGTGCATACTGAGACACTAGAGGACTTGAACCAAAGCAAAGCAATGTCAATGGAATGGCGCCAAGTGTAACAAATCAAATACCAAAGCAATGTATAGACTGAAGTGTTGCAAAGGAGTGTTGTTGAGACACGATTGAGAAATGCTAAAATGGATTTGAAATTTCTGTGTCCACAGGTATTTCACATAATCTTATGGATTGAGTTGGCCTAACAGTTTGATCTACACACTTTCACACTTTACTAGAACTGAAGTTTTTCTGAACAGGTAAGCAGAAATATTACCTAATACAAAGTATAATAGAGTTGTTTGTTTCATTTATTGTATGTGGGTTTACATATCCACAAAAATGACTACAAAAAAGCATCCAATGACTAGTACAAAAAAAAAAAAAAACTGAGCATGCTTGATTTTCCCTTGATGCTACTGGTAAAATTGCCTGCTGTTGATAGAGTTCACCCACAAGATAACAAGTTTGCTACAAGTGTGGAAAAAAAGGTTACAGGTGACTAAAAACGTAATGACAGCCCTACCCATCTTTATCCAGACCACTGCACTGCAGTTCCTACACCTACAGACAGCCTGTTACTCAGAAAATAATTCATGCATCTCTTGCATACCTGTGTCCGTTGGGCCACTTAATAATAATAATTATTAGTTTACATTATTTAACATGTGAAAGCTTGGAAGAACTCGAAAAAGCTGTGAAAATACTTGCCTGTGGCTCGTGTTCCCACAGCATTTCTCATTCTCCCAAACTTCCACTCGTGTTTCTATAACTCAATAGAAACACAGTACTACTACTAATTCCTAGCTCTCCTCTGGGAGAATAGGGCCATAATAGAAACACAGTACATGTTTTCTATTTCTTAAATAATAATAATAATACCTACCAATCATAGTTTCAATGTTGACATCATCATGTCCTGTCTTGAAAATCTGGGTTCCTTTCAATTTGGTGGGTTTCCTTGTGTGGGAACAAATAACGTCAATGAGGTGACCCATAAAGTAACTACAAAACATACATTCATAATTCTATATTTAAAATTAAGTCCAAGTGACCACACAGACTTTCATGTTGCACTCTACAATTACTCAGTTTTGTACTCTGCGGCCTGAATGTGCACGTGTCATTGACCAATCAGAATTCAGAAATCATTTTGACTATCATAGCAATAACAAAATTAGTCATTCATCATTCAGTCACTTGGGTAACCAATTGCAGGTATCCAGACACAACTAAATTTTATAATAGGGGATACCTGTAGCTGGATACCCATTATGGAATCGCGTCCATTGAAACATGTCAGCCGAAAAAAGTGGGGTACCCAAGATGCTTTCCGCACCCATAAAGCTTTACTGCCGTTTTCAGTTCCCTTTGACTCCAAAACCAGAACTCCCAAAAGGGAGTTAAATAATTTTTCCTCTCAGTCTGTT